AGACAATACTCTGCGAAATGAATATTATTTCAAAAGAGTAAAACAGATAGTTAATCTTAATAAGCACAAGCTAATTTGTATTTATACGTTATTATATTCATTAACCACCAAGCAAAAATATCAATAATCGTAATAAAATCAAATACTTGATAGACGAAAAATCCATCTTACGTTCTCGGTCAACAACAGGACTTGTCGCTGCCTGCACACTTCCGGTGAGCTATCTGTCTTAGAAAACACTTGGTTACTTTAGTACACTTACAAACTAACGTATCTATTTCCATTAGATGTTAATAAAGATACATGTAACACAATATTGCCACATTAGTTAAATTTAATAATCAAGATATTTCATTATATATTCATAAAAATCTTCACTTTCTTCTTAAGCTTAACTATGTTCGTAGATAACTCTCACATTTTGGCATATTAACCCCATGTTACTGTCTTCCATTTTTAATTCCTGTCGATCATGTTGCAGTCAGAGGGAGCATTTTTTTTTTTTTTTTTTTTTTTTATCCCTTTTGGGGATTCGAACCCGCGTATCCGTATCCGCGCTTGGTTACCGTGGCCGAGAGGCACTAAGACACGAATATTCGGTCGCGGGTTCGAATCCCCAAAAGAGAGAGAGAGAGAAAAAAAAAAGAAAATTGCTCCCTCTGATTGCAACTTTGCCCGGAGCTGAAAGACATGAAAAGCTCCGGGCGTCAAAAAAGCGCCGTTGCAATCAGTTTTTATCTTGAAATGTTTAGTTATCATAAGTTGGTTATAATAATTTCAAGTTGATAACAATAGTATTGAATCCCCCCCCCCCTCTCCCTCTCTCTCTCATGCTTTTATCAGTTGACGTGGGCTATTTTGGACCTTGAGTTCAAAGGTATTTTAATACTTGCATGGTGACATAAATTAGAAGATAAGCATCGTAAAATGTGATTAAATAAGTAACAAATATATCAAATGAAGGTTAAGATTCCCAACAAATGCATCACAGTAAGAACTAAAAAAGATATATATATGTATATATATATATTGAAAAGTATGCGAACTTAGTTATAACCTTTTGTTATGAATCATACTTACGAAATGGCCATGATTCATAGGCCTACATCCCGTAAACATAACACACCATTAGGTTCAAACGATGATTTCATATGAAAATGATAAAATTCGTGATAATAATGGTAATAATTAGAATAATAATAACAAAAATAATGACAATAATTACAATACTATTGATAAAGCCATAAGGATAATAATGATAAAGACAATAATGTTTTAGAAATGATAATGAAACCATCCAGTTTGTTAGAATTATACGAGGCCCGACCCAATGAATATTCATTATACGGACATCTGTATACACAGAAATAAATGCCTACCCATCAGTCCAGACATGCATATCGCATGTATATCTGCCAGATACGGAAACTGAGATGCCTTTATTTCTGCATCTGCATGTCCGTATATATGAATACGCTTTGGGTCGGGCCTCGTACTGTTTGAACACTCTCTCGATTTCCCTCACTTTATTTTCTCTGCCTCTTCCCCATGTTTCCTCTCTCTCTCTCTCTCTCTCTCTCTCTCTCTTAATTCCAGACACCATGCTCTCTCTCTCTCTCTCTCTCTGCTGTTATAGTCTGAGTAATAATGAAAAAAAATAATAACAAGTGATGTTAACAAAATCATCACCATCGTCTTAAAAATAATACAACAATAAATAACTTGATAAAAAAAAGTTTTGAGGAAGAAATTGAAAATAGATTTTTTTTTTTTTGAGGTGGGGGGGGGGTGTTTCTATATATCTTATGTGATTGTTTGTTCCTTCATCTCTTTTCATATGTTAGTCTATTCCGAACCGTAAGTTTGTATAATGATATTGGAAGCAGGCTTTCTCGGATTAGGTTATTTTTCCCTCCATGTATTTTTATAGAATCTAGTCCACATAAGTTTCTTCTTCAACACTGTAACATATTTATCGTTAGGAGCATTGATAAACATATCATCTTAATAAGGCTAAAAGTCATATAACAACAATACGCAACTTAATAAAAGTGATCTAGCAGCTGTCTCCGCCGGGACTCGAACCNGAGATTGAAAGGAGATACCAAGGGAAGTGGAAGGAGAAGGGAATGGTAAGAGGAGAAAGGTAGGTGGAGAGAGAGGGGCGGAGGTAGAGAGCAGGAAAATGAGAAAGAGAAGGGGGTGGAGGGAGAAAGGAGGAGGAAGAGAGAGAAAGTGAGAGAGAGGAAGTGTCAGCCACCAGATGAAGTTCAACGATGGAAGTTAGGCACACCCACTCAGAGCAACAACAGCTGATAGAAAGCGAGGTGAATTCTTCAACTGATAACGTTGAAGTTGATGCTCTCCGATTGATCTTAAAGCCTATAAACCTTCCTTCCGTACAAATACATGGCCGCGATCCCAGTTCTGAATCGGATAAATCTGCCTTCGGTTAGTGACAATATAACATAGTAAAGACTTAAAGAATAGTCCAATGTTT